CCGGGTCTTCAGTTGACTGACGAGTCAGTAACGCCAACCACGGCACGGTGCAGGTGCTACTGAGTACCGCGAGATTTATGTCTCGGGCCTTCGGAGCACGTGGCCAAACCACTGAAGATGCTGGCGTTGTATCATTTTCGAGCAGCGCCGTCGAACTTCATCATTGGAAACCGGGTCTGTCCAATTTACTTTAAAGATGCGGCGTAGGCATCAATGATCAAAGACCTCTAGCTTCCTCGTACCTTGTTCTCCTAGCGATCATGTTTTACAACCATAAGTGAGGATAAGGCGAATGGAAGCCGGGTAAACCCGAGGTTTAGTGTTTAAGCTTATTTGGTATCGGTTCCACAGCGGTCCGAGGAGTTGCAGGAAGGCTCTTCTCTCTCCATCTATATGAAATTGTATTTCATCCCTGACCTGGCCGTTTGGTCTGATTGTAGAGCCGACATACTTGAAAACAGATTGATTCGCCAGGGTCCCCGTTAATCGTGAGGGGTTGTGTCATGGCAGAAGTTTCGGTGTAAAACGCCTTGGTTTTCGACGTGCTTATCTCTAGCCCAATCACCATGGTAAGCTGATTAACGCGACTCAAAACAGGCTGCAGGTTGTTCGTGGCGTCCCTAAGTACGAGGACATCATCCGCAAACCCGAGGTCTGCAATCCATGTACCTGGGACAAGCTGCACTCCGGAGTAGTCGACGAGTTCTTTCAACGTTATCCAACTTACGGTGTAATTGAATAACACCGGCGATAGGGGACAACCTTGCCTGACTTCAGAGCTATGTACACTTAGCTGACTCTTCGCCATAGGTACGAACGCGTGCCGGAATCCCTGAGAAGTACGGCTTTAAGATCTCGATGAAATTCCCGGGCATTCCATCAAACGGCAGTATGTACCACAAGAATTCTCTATTGACAGACTCAAATGCGGCGCGGAAGTTCATGAAACATGCTGTGGTAGAATGTTGTAACTTGTCGCGATGTTGCAGAATCCTACGGAGAGTAAAAAGTTGTTCAACTTATTCGGGCGGGCACAGGCATTCCTGACGACTGCGAAACGGTTAGGCAGTATCACTGCGATATCAATTAGGCTGATATAATTTTCGCATCTTGATCTGTCATCCTTTTTTGGAAAAGGAACTAAAATTGAAGTTGCCCAATCTTTTTGATATATATATATATATTTCACACACGTCAGACTGTGTTCCAAACAAATCGTGATACCATAATCTTTATAAAAAAGAAAAACGTTCCACGATTTGCATGTGAGCTGAATACTGCCAGGTTAGCCAAGCCAAGACAGATGGATTTTCGTGAAACTACTTGAGAAAAGGCGGGCGTTGCTGTAAGCAATCGCTTCCAACGTAACCACAACTTTTCTTGACAAGTTAACTGTCGGCGCTCAGTGGTTCACACTGCGAACGTCCATCATAGAAGCGGCACTAGGGGCAGTTAGGTATGTATGTGGTACGCGGCTCTGCCGTCACCCGGCTCACTATCACTATCTATTGAAGCCTTTTGTTCCTCCACTCCAAGTTTCACGATCATGGTTGCCGGTTTCCTCACAACATATACAGGAATATACAAAATCACGAACAGCGACGTACTCTCGCTCGCTCAATGCACTCAGACTGTTAACACGTACCCATCACCCTCATCAACATTCGCGGGCTGAACCGCAATATTGATTCTGTACTCCACTTTCTCCATTCTTCCCCACTCGCCCTTTTTTGACCGAAACAGAAATCTCCCCCTCGTCAGATACCACCCATTTTCAATTCCCCAACTACACTCTCCATTCCTCCTTTCTACCCAAAGCAGGTGTCTGCACCTTTATTCACCAATCAATCACCGCCTCCAGGATCCCAAATCTTGACTTTCCCAATCGTGAATTCAGCTGATGTGGCTGAAACTCTGACTTCCTTCCTTTATTCATTACTTTTGTGTTCTTTATCGTTCCTCCAATAGCGGCGACTCTTCCATCTTTGATTTTCTATCTTCGAACATTGAACATTTGTTCGCGACCGACTCCAACTGCCATGTTACCATCTTGGGAGATTTTAACGTTCATAATCAAGACTGGTTAATATATTCATCTGCTACTTCTCCTTTGGGACGCGAAGCTGAACACTTCACTTTGGTCAAAAACCTGAGCCAACTAGTTGACCTCCCCACACTTGTTTCTGATCGAGCTGGCGATCGTGCCCATAACCACGAGCTAATTCTCACTTCGGTTCATTCTTTCTTCTCAAATATTCGTACCCTCCCTCCTCTTGGCTCATCAGATCACTGTATTGTTTCTTCTATTAGGTTTTCAAACTCCGAGCCATCACCCACCTGGAGAGATATATTCTGGCGCTACAACTCAGCCAACTGGAACGGTTTCCGTGATTTCCTAGCTGCTTATCCCTGGAACGATTGCTGATTCTCTTAGGATGTTTCCAAATTCGTTGCGAACTTCACCCACGTTGTTTTTCAAGGTATGCATCTTTTTATTCCGCACTTTTCCAAACCCGGCAAACCCAAAATCCCCTGAGTGGTTTAGCCATGCATGTGACCATGCTGTACGCCTTAAACGTCAGTCTTCCGCCGCTTGCGCCGCTCGCCCACCCCTCTCCCACCAAAGGTAGAAACAGATGCTCGACGACCATTCAGAAGACCAAAGAACGCTTCGTCCGCCGTAAAGCTGAAAACTTTGTCTCGTCCGCCACCGGTAGCCGAACATTTTGGTCCATTGCCAAAGCAATTTCCCGTAATTTCTGCCCTTCCAACTTCCCCCTATCTGCAATTCCTCTGGTGACCTTTTATGTCTACCAAACGAGTAAGCTGAGGGTTTTGCTTCCTAGTTTGCCGCCAATTCCACCTTACCCCATTTTACTACACCACCTTCTTCCTTTACTGGCAACCCTTTTCTGCCTCATATCAGCACTAGGAAAATCCGTTAAACATTGTGCTCTCTTAACGCAAACAAACCACGTGGTCCGAACGGTATCCCATCCATCGTCCTCAAAATGTGTGCTCCCTAGCTGGCTCCTGTTTTACGTCGTCTTTTCAGTCTTTTCCTCCAACTTTCTTCCTTTCCAACCCCCTGGAAGCACGCCGTGATTTTTCCCATTCACAAACGTGGCGACCTTTCTAACCCTGACAATTACCGACCCATTTCCCTCACATCTGTTCTTTCGAAAGTATTTAAAACTATCATTTCTGACCGGCTACGCACGTTCCTTGAACGCGAAGGACTACTAAGCGATCGCCAGTATGGATTTCGACCGCGTCGTTCCACTGGTGACCTTCTGGCTCCTGTCTCACAATCCGGGTCAGCTCTACTCGATAACCACGGGTGAACACACTTGGTCTCGCTTGACATCTCAAAGACCTTCGACCGAGTTTGGCACGAAGGTCTACCGGCGAAACTGCCCATGTTCGGGTTCCCTCCCATGCTCGTAGCGTGGATATCATGTTTCCTCAGTAAGCGAGACGTCTCCGTCCGACTCGATAGGGTTCCATCTCAGCCATTCCCCGTGAACGCTGGTATTCCCCAAGGTTCAGTACTTGCGCCTACAGACTCTGTTTCCTTCTTGGGTTGCCTATAACTTCTTCTTTATGCTGGCCCCCTTTTATAACCAAGCTTGCTTCTCGTGCTGCGCGCAAGGTTGGATTTCTATTTCGCGCCAGACGTTTTTCACCCCAGCTCATCTTCTTTTAATTTACAAAGCTCAAATCCGCCCTGCTCTTGAATACTGTAGTCATTCCTGCTTAGTGGCTGGAGACCCTATCAGTATCCGTCCATCAAACCCCAGTGCATATGCATTTCGAGTTTGGCATTGATCAGTAGTGTTCGCTTCTCTGTATTTCGCTGTACGATGATGATGATGACTGTAGTCACGTGTGGAGTGGGTATTCGTCCTCTTTCCTTTCTTGATCGTGTTTAACGATAGGCCATCCGGCTGATCTATGATCCTACCCTAACATCCAGTCTGCAATCACTAGTCCATCGTCGGGCAGTTGCTTCATTGTCCCTGTTCTACCGCTACTGTGTTTCTAGTTCTTCAGAACTTGCATCGACAGTTCCTCTTCCTACAACTTGTACCCGACCATCCCGTACACAGGCATCTAGTCATCCTTATCAGGTTTCTATTCCCAGGTGTCGTACCTCTACTCCAATCTTCCTTTTTCCCCCGAACTGTGGAACACCCTCCCTCTTGTTGTTCCCCCCCCAACTTACAATCTTACACTTTTTAAACGCAGAATCAATAAACTGGATCTTACGTGAATGTTCCCCTACTTCCACTTTGCAGTATGCTATTTATCCATGGGGATTTTCCCGTTTACTGTAATTCACATTGTGTAATAAAAAAGAGTTTTCGTCACAAAAGATACTGGATCTTTGAGAATACACTGGTATCTCCGCAAAAGCAAGAGTTACGGGTGATCAGCTCTCCTGAATTCCTTATTCTACGTCACCAAGCCTTACGCTACGCTAAGAGGAATCGCAAACAATACTGGGAGGCGATTGCAGACAACATGGAGGCTCCAACCGTGGTAGTGGACTCTGGAACGCTACTCCGTCTAATCCTTGTCGCAGCAGAAAAGAGATAGACACCGAAGCCACTACTGCGCAAAACCACGGGCCAACTTATTCAGAGAAATAAGCAGAAAATACAAAGATGGATCGAACACTCCAACGGGTTGCTTAATCGCCCACCTTGGCTGTCCACAGGTGTCAAGCAGTTAGATACCTGCGACATCAATTATGATCCACCTAGTAGGACAGAAGTCGCCGACGCAGTTACTTCTCTGAAAAGCAGGAAGTCCCCCAGAAAAGCAGGGATAGCACTAGAGCTATTCAAAGCTTGTCCTACCCGGGTGAGTATGCAAGTGGCAATGGCCTTATTTGGTGGAGGACCACATTCACACACTTCACGATGCTGTCGACAGACAACTATGGCTTTTGAAAGGGATATCGGTTGGCGGCCAGAAACCCCACCACGTTNAGCATCGCCGCTGATCGTCCGCGACCGTTTTTCAGTAGGGTGCCCCCATCTTTCTTGGTTGCCCACTAAGGTGGATGTTTTCCTGGAGACGTGTTCGGTAGCATTCAGCTTTACTATCTGTAGACAATCCATGAACAACAAAAAAATCCCATCCCTTGGGGGCATGTTCCACGCCTTTGGTCTCAATCATTTTCCTAACTCTCACATGGCTTCAGGAAGCTGAAACATGCATCAGCGGCCACACCCCGGCGAACCGCTTGAGAAACAGGCTAAACCATTTTGAGGGTAACGGTAGCATAAAAAGCCTCGGTGAAATAGCATACGGATGTAGCTACTCCTTGGTGGGCGGACGATATGTACTGATCGATACAGTGAATTAATGAGACTCTGTCTCACGATCCATAGAATCCATGGACTGAAACCATATTCAGAGTGATTACGATCGGCGAAATTTCCTTCACTGCATTTTACTGCATAATAATGATGACGACGAGACTGCGGAGCTTCCAGAGAGCCTCCAGCAATTATGTAGACAGCTTCAATATCGTTAGGTTCAATACCACACCTTACCTAATGGAAACATATGGTTCGCCACTCCGAGTCCTATTGCGTAGATCATCGATTTCAATGAGTGAACAGCAAGTCCTGGGAACTGTGTGGGTTACCCCGTCAGTTATTCATCACACCGGGGTGTCATAAAAGCCTGTTGCTTTGTTCTCCGCATTTGATTGTAATAAGGCTCGGGGTGCGCACTGGAATACCGGGCACGTACCACAACTATGGAATTTGATGATGTTCTTGATTTCGGTTTGTTCTTCTCTAAGAGCCAGTCGAAATAAACTAAGGTAAAGTGAGTAGAGAATGGAAGTGGAATATGAGATATACAAGTGAGTGTAGTTTTTTTCTGAGTCATTCTGGTCTTCCGTCACTACCTTAACGTTGTTATGGTTAGCGGTCATTGTTGTCTGTTATTAAAAATTCTTAATTTCATTTTAGATTGATTTTTTCTTGACACTGCTTTTTATTCATTTAGCTTCGTGGCACGTTGCGTGTGGTAATGAAGCCTTTGATACCGAAAGTACCGTTCACAGGGGCAGTAACGGTGTGTTTTCTTGATAGTCCGGTAAGTTGTACTTTATCGTCGAACTTTTCTCCAAACACGGGTCATGGTTACTAAGTCAAGTGTTTTTCATGTTCTGATAACTCATCCTCATCGTGATCAAGGATTTTCCCGATCTCCAGCGATATGCTCGTTTACAGTTTCACGTATGGCACCGAGAATAGTATGCATTGTGAATACGTAATAAAATCCGAACTGATGAATGCAATTAAAGCCCAGACGTTATGAAAATTTTAAACTTTTAAACTCAGTTGCTTTTGCATCTCCTCAATCTCTTCGAAACCTTAGTCTACCAGAGCCCCCTATTTCCTCTTTGACACTGCCCTCGATGTTCCAATCTTTTCTCTATTCAGTTATCTAAATGGGAAGCCAAAAGACCAAAACCAAAAGCATCACACGAAGGTGCTTAGTTAATGGTTGTAAAAATTGCAAATGAAAACTCTTGAACTCATGATGACATGCCGATCGGGATAGATGTGTTGTAAATGGATTTTTGTTGTATCACAACTGGGGAAAGTGCAATAGTGTCATGACTGATAACGTTCACGCACGTTCTTCTATCGGGGGTTAAAGTGGGCATCCGCTTGAACCGACAGGCCATCGATCCGCGCAAACACATGGAGCTCTAAGAATATATACAATCTGTATGTGTGAAACTGCCTACAAGATTAAGATCTTTCGGGAAACTTGATGAACGATGATTTCAGTCCGCCAGTGGTCAGCATTACATTTTGGTTACCTACAATTTCACCCTCTTTGCTGAAAAGCTGGTCACAGGCATAAACGCTCGCTTAACTCGGCGGTAACAATACAATACTCGAAAATTCGGAACAGAAATCCGCAAACCTGTTAGATATTGCTTGACAACTGTGATCTTTGGCTGAGAATACGAGCGATTGCCATTGCGTAAACGTCTATTCTTCCTCTCTCATTTGCCCGTCGCGTTTGCCATTGAGTGTCTCCATTCATCAGCACCACAAAACTCACTCGGTTAGTTTCCTACTGACCTTGTTCATTTTTTGTCTATCTCACTCAATCCACCTCACAGTTTATGGCCGTTAAAACAAAGCAGACTAAGTGTAATTGTGTTTATGTTAAGATCAGGTGTAACTTTCCTGATATCCAACTTAAAAAAAACACGTCTTAACTATTAAAGTGCAAGTGTCATGTGATGAAATCGATCGACTTGGATAAGAGTTTGCGGTAGTTCCATATGAATATGACCGATTTTTCGGTAAAGTGCTTTACAGACGGGTTAGCCAGAAACTTAGGCAGCTCATCTATCTTTTTTCGACTGTAGCTTGGATCATTGCGGTTTTTCCGGGAAACAAGCAGTTCAGCTCTTATCTTTTGAAATCTTTTAAAATTGCTTTCTTAAAAATCCGTTCTAGGATTCAGTGTCATCGAATCGATATCAGTCTGTTAACATTGCAACAAATAGACTTAACTAACATTAAAACTCTCGTCTTAATTTTAGACTTCATTCCTTTGTGACATTTCATTAGTAGACGACACTATGAATAGGTGTACTCTTCTTTCTCTATCACTTTAGAAAAAGAAACAATTTAGCGTTCATAGACCAGATCTACGTCAAGACTGATTTCTCTTAAACACGCATTGGCTGGATGGTGGTGCTAGTAGCACTGGTTTTCTCCTAACTCTTACGCAACCAGGTACAGAGTAAACGAGACTATTGTAGCCTTTCGTGTTGCAAACTGTTTGTGTCACATTGATTTTATAATGCAGACAGTTTTTTTATTATTAGTTTGCACTCCTTTTCGCTGACTTGTTTTGCAGCGAAACAGCAAAGAATTTAGCGCTATCTTAACTCGATGGAAACCTAAGCTTGTAGACATTACAACACTACGGAACGCCATCTTTGAGCCTTAAAATTATTTGAATGGTGTAACCTTTTGAGCGCTTATTCATCGTCCATGATTACTGATACATTGAAGTCTTTTGTTCATTGTTGTCAGTTTCGTCTTTCGGCATGCAAAATGAATGCATACCCTACACCGATTCGAGTAGGGTATCCGTATTCAGCTTCTTCTATAGTATTAGTCTTGAAAGCTGAGCAAATCTACGTAGGTTTGATCAGTCGTTTAGAGCAATACCGACCCATTATTGTGCTTTCCTCATTGCTTCCTCATGAGTTTAAGTGCTGCCGTTCTATGTAATTCTGAGGTTAGGTTAGGTTACGTGGAATTGATATCCATCTATGATCGGCGGCTCCCTCAATGCGTAAAGAAAATTGAAGACCTTATTTCAAATAATAAGGTTTACCTAATAGCTTTGTAATTTGGCGAGCATGCCACTGTTGTTTCGATCCTTTCGAATACCATTCAGGGTCCGCTTCGAACAATCGCATAGAAGATCGATATCCGCCAGCAAAACGGAAGCCTACCATCTACCATTCAGGTAGATACATGTTGCTCACATAGTCACTGTCGGTCATAAGCAGTTTACCTAAATGAGTTTGTGTATTTGAGTACCCGTTTTCTCTGTCTTGTAAGCGAGATTTTTACTTTGTGAGAAGCTATCTTTTCCGTCTGTTACTCATCACTAGTGGACTAAAGGAGATTGGCTTGTGCGCATGGTTTTTCTTCAAAATTCAGCTGTATTAGTCATAATATTCCTTATTCTATTGAACATTTCGATGCAGTTTCTCATGCACTAAAGGCTTTGATTTATTTATCTTTCCTTGAAACACCATGGTTATCGATTCTTTCGAAGGAGAAAATAGGTTAGTTGATAATCGGTATCTCAGAAGTAATTATTTCATATTTTGTTTTTACCTCTAGTACATTCAATTTTCTCTAACTGAAATGGGCAACGTCTTTGGCTTGCCAGGCTTGCAGTAAGTTTGGCGTCCGGATTTCATTGTGTTATTTTGATGTGCATCGAGTGGTTCTTACCAATCGATCCAAATGTCCAAATCATCAGCAATGGAGGTGAACCAAAAGTAATTCTCTCTCAACACGGTGCTCCTTGGATCGATTTTCTGTCAGGTTATTCTATCGGACAATGATTTATGAGAGTTTCCATCCCAATCAATAATTGTCCAATGTGTACTTCTTAACTTACCAGATTTATGCTCCCTCCCCACGTCGATCGTTTCGTTTCAAGTGCCGCTTCTTAAATGTTTTGAGACCATTTTGTGGTAAAATTTGCGGCAAAGGAAATTCACATGGTTCCTGATTATTTTCACCATTTTTTTCCTGACCGCCAGCACTACTTTCTCCCGGTGCAGTTGTATGCTTATTCTTCTGATGTGTCCGATGGTCTATCTTTGCGCTTAGACCAACCGTTTCACATCGTAGGTCTTCACGACTTTACGGTCTTGTTTCCCCGTAATAAATCAACTAGAACACGAACTTATTTAGCTAGGACTAATTTTCTGTTCTCTCGTGGTTTGATTATGTTTTCCAAAATGTCTTCAGAGTTGTGTATATGTACCGTTTGTTTGGTACCCTTTGCCTCTTCTATTTCCATTTACTGTTGACCCTTACTTTATGCCAACTATACGAGCAATTCTTATGCGAGAGCTTCTAGCACTTTAAGGCAGGTGTACTTCATGGAAGCTGGTGTCGACGGTGTGCCGAACAGGCTTAGTCTTTTCATTGTCGCACGTAGAAAACATGCACTGTTTCTACATATTCCATCTAATTTTTTTCGCTCGACTTCAAGAAAATACACCTTCACCATGAGAATGCCTGAATCCGTTTTGTCTTGCTTTTTCCCTAAATATTCTCAGCATTCGCGTAAGCTAGCCACACTACCGTTGCTTGGAAACAATTTTATTGAACACTTATTATCTAACTCACCAAATATGATTGGTGAATGTTAAATTCTATTATTGACAAACATCTAGCGGTTCGGTTAACATTGAACCTTCCAAACTGTAGTTTGACACAGTTTCTTCAACTTTGTACCATCCCGCGCTCTAATCACAGACAGGAAACGTGGTGACTTTCGCCTTCCTGTGACACTCATCTTTAAGTGATAACTGTCCTAAGTCTCAGATCACGTAGAGCCAATTTATTTTTTCAATTTCCTTTTCTGATAAAAATTGATCATGCAGTAAACCTAGCTTATTAGGCTAGTTCATTGCTTTCTTTTTTTATTCTGTAGGTTGCACTGAATTGCTGACACTTGTGTTAGTTGGTTTCTTGGTCCCCAGTGTGTTCTTCAAAACTAGCTTTTCCTTCCATACAGGCAAACTCTGACCGGTGTGGTTCGCGATGTCATCAATCAATTGATTGTGCTTCCCAATCGACTGCCTATCCAACTTGTGGATGATGTGGATTGTCAACGCCTCAAGTATCCAATGCCACAGGTGCGCAGTTTGTCTCAATCGGAAAGCCATGTCTTCGTCAGTTCCACTCTCACTAAGTGCCTGTATTCATACCACATGTTTTGCACTGTACCCACTTAACGGTTAGCTCATTCAATTGAACTGCAAAATTGGTGTATATATCTAGTTCGAAAGTTGTTCATGAACAAGTTTTGAGGCAGTGTGTGCATGTTTTTATATTTGATCATTCAGTGATATTTTGTAAAACCATTTGTTTATCTTTCCTAGCAGTGTGACATCTCTGTATGACATGTGATTTAGTTTTTCGATTTCTACGGGCTCACAGCGTTCTGGTTGCCTCAACTTGAAGTATGCTAGTGAAATTAATAACTTAAGGTGCTTCATCTGTTGTTCCGTTCGTCCAATTATCTGTTGAATAGTCAGAAAAGGTTTAGTGTAGCGTTCAAGTAGTAAACGTCGCGAACGCACGGCTATGATAAATAATATCAAATAGCACCTTTCTTTATTTGAAATTCATCGCTCCGAAATTCTGGACCTTTGTCTGGGGTCATTTATAGCGTAGTTTTCCATAAGCTCTACTGATTTCCTGGTCTTATGAATATCTTCACTTTAGTCCCACTGGCTCATGGGATAGTTGTTTCCTCTGTGGTGAAACACATTCATCGTGACGATTCGTGAAGCTCTCCTCTGTGTATTTTGCTGCGTGATCTGTTGGTTTGCGCATCTCACAATTAGCGACCCTTTACTTAATCTCATCGCGTGCAATAAATCAACCGCCATGCGTTCTAACTCACTACTTTTTTAACATTATTTTAGCATTTAGTTCCGAAAAATCTAATACCAAACGAGGGCTATAGATTCGGAATTTGAGATTCAGTCAAGTACTCGAGACTGCTTCTTGAGGTGGTGTGATGGCTTGTGCCTCTCTCTGACCCAGCGAGCTACGCAGAATGGCTTTTGCCAAGCCGAAGATCTAATCATGCCTGGAAGGTCAAAGGATAGAGGTCAGACGAAGTCCAGTCTCCTGGTCCTCCGGGTTGGGAGTTCAGCTAGAATTGGCATCTCATTCGGTAAAAGTGATGTATGAATAATCGATCCAACTCAGTAGGCCTCAACTTCGTCTCATGCGCTGCCTTGCAGTTAGGTTCTTGTAAGAACTAAAGGCTTTGGACAAGAACCCTAATCGTTCTGCTTAGTGGCTGGATACCCTAGCGGTAGCCATCTATCAAACCCCAACGCCTACACATACTGAAAAGAATTCCTTACTGTATCAGTCGTTGCACAGGATAAGCAAGGCTGCGCTGCTCATTCTATCGAGCGGGGTGGGTAGTGATAAGTGGGTCACTACTCCAATATCCCAGCCTTTCTTTAACACTTCGTCCTCCGTACCCAGCCCGCCCATCCGGCGATGACGAAGCTCATGCAGTAGTTCAGCGCGTGGTACGTATGGTACTTAGTAACAGCACCGAATCCTCTGTTATCCATTGGATTCCCATCAACAGTCGTTTATGTGCGATGCGGCTCCAGGGGGTTAGCCGTGTCCGGAATGAAAGCTACACCAAAAGATGTT